TCTTGTAATGTAAAGACCATTCACTCCATCATCAAGCCATTGCCCTTTTCATTTGGGATATTCCAGTTCCATAACAACTTTAAAAACACCAACCAAACCTTTTAGGCACTTCAAGAGACAGTGGTGGGTGGACAGGTGCCATACTGCCACCACTGAGATAATTGGTCACCACCAGATTTCAGACATTTGCACGTGGAAAATAATTGCATAAATTAGCCTAGATACACAATGTAGAGATTTGGCAGAGTGTGAATCAGAAAAAGCCTGTCATCATCTCCTTAAAAACAATGGTGTACAGTTAACTGCCTTCATAGCCAAAGATGGATCCCTTACCACAGATAGTTAGATAGCAGGTTGGGCATTCATTGACTTGTGGAGTAACAACATTCTGCACAAATCTGGTGGGGCATCCGAGCTTCTGAGAAGCAGCACAAAGATGAGGCTAGAAGCCATAAAGCAAGCTCTCCTTTGAATTGCTGAAAGCAATGAACTGCAAATAGACAGTGTCATAAACATAATATTTACAACTGACTCACAAGCAGTACTACATACAATTCGGAGTGATTGGTTGTCCCCAGACAGAAAGCAGAAGGTATGAAGCATTAGCAACTACATGGCAAGACCATCACCTAGATGTATGTGTCTTGGTAGGGTAAAGCTAAATGAGGAAGCTGACAAGAAGAAAGAGAATTAAGCCCCCTCTATCAAATCTGACATAACTGTACTGGTAGAATATCGACCTTCTCTACACTAATAAGGCAAAAATACCAACCATGGATGATCTTCATCAACATTCAAAGGGAAAGAGACTGTTGGAAAGTAAAGCATAATGTAGCTAGGAAAAGCAAGAGATGAGAAATCACTAGGAAAGCATACTGCCAGAAGGTCAGTGTTAACGTCAGTAAAAGAACTCTCTTACACCTCCTGTGAGGCAACTGGCCTCTACATTAGGGGTTGGTGCCTGTCAGTGCAACCCCTGGAATTTTCATCTAGTATTCAACTGAAATTTAAGTTTATAATATGTCTCATTTCGTGTTAGTTGGCTGGCTCCCATGCTTTTGATGCTGTATTATGATGTTCATTTATTGTATTTTCATTGTCAATTTAAAGTATTTCATTAAGTTATTTTGATTCCTTGGTTGCTGAAGTTTATGTGTTGCCCCTTTGTTGTCTTTTTGTAATTGTTGTGATGTCATGTGTGTCACCTAAGGATGATTATAAATAAATAAATAAATATATATATATAACAACATATTATGAGTTATAGTTAATTTTGTGACTCAATTATTAGCATTTAATGTTAATGTTCAGGTCTGGGAAGATATTAAGATAAGGAAAAGGGAGATTGTTGTATTTGGAACTGGTACTAATTTCTGCCTTTCATATATAGTATACATCTTTATTCAGGTATATTCATTAATTTTTCTAAATTTTCCTACAATTCCTGCATGTAGTTGGTCATATGTCATGATGTTGTAAACATGTGCTAATTCTTTTACAAAGACAAAGGCTACATACTAAGTAAGGCTTTTGTTCTTAAGTCTCAAGCTGGCATGCAAGCATTTTTGTAGGGATTTGTAGTCAAGCTGCCTATTAAAACAGGCAATAAAAGACTTTTAATATCTGAGGATGGTTGAAGTATCTAACCCATGATCTTGTGGGATTCCTTATTAAGGCTTTGGCTGAGTATAAAACTGTAGTATTTCCATGTTCTTCTCTTAATTCCTGCTCTCAACCCCAGCAGCCACACAAATTTAGAAGCCAGCCAGCAATTTAATAAATTACAGATATTAGTGTTAATAATGATTTTGTTTGTTTATTCTCTTGTATTCATTTGTTTTTCTTTGCTGTGGGTGTTCAATTTATTTTTTGCTTAACAATCCTGAACCAGGATTTTCATGGGAGGTTTGGCTTTTCTGTCAAGCATTAGTGTGCCTGAATAAACACATCAATTCTGTATGAAATCCCCCATGTATTTTTGCCAAAACAGGTAGCTTTGCAGCTAACATATGAATACAAGTAGATAACACTAACAGCTTTTATGTTAATCAACCTTGACTAACTTATACATACACTTCAGCAACGTCTTTCCTTCTAACTACAAATGCAAGTGATTACATCCCTTACTTATTTAAACACAACATTTGTTTATCTTTATTTCTACAGAAAAAACAAAATTTGTACATCTTTCTCTTTAACAAAATGGGTATCAAGCCTTTTCTAAAAATCATCACTCATAATTGTGTAAATAAAAAACTCAACCTTCATAGCAATGAAAGATGTACTACTGTCCCTAAACATCCTGCATAGTTATGCCTATGTTTGCAAAACCAAATGCAATTTTATGGTATACATTCATGAACTCATAGGTATTTCCTACAGAACTGATACTTTTTTATCATGTTCCTGTACTTTTTTTATCCATATGTTTAGCTATGGGCCACATGAATTTGGTACTTTTGAGTAAAGAATTTTCTTACTAAACAAAGTCTTTCTAAGTTAAATAGCTCATTTGCTGTTAAGACTATTTTTAATTTATTTTTGTTAACTAAATAGATATATTTACCTATCTATCTATTCTGGGTTTATATCTAAGTACACTTACTTGTCTTACTCTACCTTTTTTCTTCATTTCAGTCTCAACATTCTCAATACAAATGGTTATGATTATACAGACATATAAATTCTTATTTTGATGTTTCTATTAATTGTTTTGCATTTACTGTAGGAATTTGCTGAAGATGGAGTGGATGTTCTAAAATTTTCAATAAATATTATTTGTCACTTCTGTTAGTTGTGCAACTCATCATTAGACTATGATTTCTGCCTCATGAATATATTGTAAGTTTTATCATGGTGCAGATGGCATACTACTTACAGGGAGTCTTCCAAGTAGTTTTCATAGATCAATTTTATCATGGTTTAACAATGATAAGGATAAACAGTACTTACTGAAGGACTTTCAAGTAGTTTTTTATACATCAGACAACTGCCAGTGGACAATTGCCGGCAGGCATCTGCCAGTCAAAAGATCCGAGTAATATAAATTCCCAACATAAAACTTAGTACATGTACTTTAAAGGAGGACAGTCTAGATTTTAAACCAGAAGGCTGTTTACAATTTTTATTTTCATTTAGTACCTATTTAGTAATCAAACTACTAATAGCCAGTGTTATATGATAACATATATGTAAATTTTAGAACTCACTTGAAATATTGTTTTTTATTTTCTTTGATCAAAGCTAGTTTGGTGTGACCATGACCAAGTAAATGTTAACAATAAAAAGACAGCAGTTGTCCTGCTCCCACATTTGTGTTATCATGGTTTGCCAATGGTGGATAATGTAGTACTTACTGTAGGAGTGCCAAGTACTTTTGGATCCATCAGTTTCATCATGGTTTGACAGCAGTATGGATAATGTAATACTTACTGAAGGACTTCAAGTAGTTTTGGTACATCAGTTTCATCATAGTTTGACAGCAGTATGGATAATGTAATACTTACTGAAGGACTTTCAAGTAGTTTTGGTACATCAGTTTCATCATGGTTTGACAGCAGTATGGATAATGTAATACTTACTGAAGGACTTTCAAGTAGTTTTGGTACACAACTTTCATCATGGTTTGACAGCGGTATGGCAGCACTTACTTGGACATTGTTATGCAAAAGTGAAGTAACCCACAAATCATAGATTTGAGTAAATGACCAAACAATTTCACTTTCTTTTAAAAAATCAGTGATAGATACCAGATGTATGTTCTAATTTTATTCAGGGGAGATCACTGTTATGTTTAAGAATGTAACATTTTCATAATGGTAAACTATTCATTACTATTAAGAAATAACAATTAGTGGCTTAGGTAATTTTTTCTTAAAGCACATTTTCCATTACTGCTATTTTTTAAAAGATTTCAAGGAACATAATAATAAACAAATCGAAATTTCAATACATTCTTATAGATTTATTCCAAAAAACAGCTACAAAAACAAGTATCTTCATTCTCATCACTGATGCTTATTGCTATAGAACTCGAGGTAAAGGAAGTAACATTAATCCTCCCCAATCCTCCAGCTCTCTGTCATAACTGTCCACATCATCAATGTTGCTCTAATTCTGAAGGTACGTATGTATACAAGTTACTGAAGTGCATGTATATGCATTAGCTGTTGGTTGTAACATAAGTGCAATGACATTTGTACTCGTATATTTTATCTTATGAACGTGTGGTAACTAATGTTAAAAATATGCATTGTTATATGCTATATTTACTATATAGAAGGCAAAACTATTTTGCACTTTTTCATAGCCATTTATGACCTTACCTTTTGCTGGAATAAGTTATTGGATTTTTTTTTCAGTCACCAGTTAATATTAGTTTGTAGACCCAAATCAATTTCTAAAGCATAATAATATTTTTCAAATGATAAAAAGTGCTATGTACAATAATGAGTGTGAAAAAGTGCTATGTGCATTTTGGTGTCACATAACGGACTTTTGCACCAGAAAAGTGATAGTAGATGAGATGAGAAATGTATATCTCCATGTACCTGTAACTACAGAACATTCAACACCTTACTTTTATCATTTTCAAAAAGTTGTTCTGCAAAAATCATCTAACTCACATAGGTCATTTTTGCATAACTGAAATCCTTGATAGCACAAGTGTGGGGTGGAACTTTCCAATCTATTGCAACAGTCTAAAGGGATTGGGTTTGGATAATTTTTCACTAGCATTTGTTTAGTGAAGAAAATAAGAAAAGCCATTTTGGGATTTTGGGGGTTAGTTCACTTTTGCAGAGCAAAATCAATTCTATCATGGTTTAACACTGGTAATTAATGTTGTACTTACTGAAGGTCTTCCAAATAGCTTTGGCACATCAGTTCTATCATGGTTTAACACTGGTATGGACAATGTAGTACTTACTGAAGGACTTACAATTAGTTTTGATAAATCAATTTATCAATGTTAACATTGGTGAGGATAATGTAGTACTTACTGAAGGGCTTCCAAGTAGTTTTGGTACATCAGTTTTACCATGGTTTAATATTAATGATGGTGCATCAAATGTTGATTCCAATCCATTTAAAAATGGCAGCTTTCCACACTGTTTTCTCTCAGAGTAAGATAAGTCTTTAACCATGGTGTCCGAAAAAACAGGGAAATCCTGAGGATGACTACGGCAGAGTTTATTGTTTATATGACTGTCATATGAGGGGCAAGTGAGTTTTGATATGTCGTTGCAACAACAATCAGCAGAAGAGCAAGAACGGCTCTTTTTGTCATTACAGCATTCTTCAGGAATTGTCTGTGTGAGTGTTGAAAGAAAGGGCTGAGTAGGCATATCTAGTGGCCACTCTGGACTAGGATCAGCTTTTACACTACACATTATGTTACCACATTTTCCATCACAACTGGAACTAACACTTTTAGTTGGATCACTGCTTGAACACTTTAGTACTTCACTTCCTTCAGTAGCAGGTCTATCATTTGATGTAACATCCTGGGAGATTCTGACCAAATGACCAATAGGCAGATAGTCACTATCTGATCGTAAGACATCTGGAAATATAGCAGAACACATTCTATAAGATCATCTAGAGTGAACAAATCAATTACATCAGGAGTGTTAAATGATAAACTATTACGTAATATGTCCATAAAATACACTGTCGTGTCACAAGTATCTATCAATGTAGTCACAGATGGTGTGTGTGTGGGGGGTATTATCCTGTTAAAGCAACACACTTGTCAGCTGATCAAAATGTTCTGCTGTGGTTCCTGGAATTTAGACATACAGAAAATCTGTAGACTGGTCTTAAACCAAATGAAGGATGTAAACAATGAAACATCCCAATCAAAAGTTTTCACAGTGGAATGTTCATATTACTGCATTCAGGCCCTAATCTGACTATCACTTCAAATTTGAGTCACTCCACAAGATTCACAGAAAGTTTCCTGTATTGATAAACTTTACATCAAGCAAAATGATGCAGAGTATAATCAGAGTATGAGCTGTTTATAAATCACAGTCCTTCCAAAGTATTACATATATGGAAAGCATGCAGCACAAACCTCACAGATGGTATCTATCCTTATATGACTATACTAGAAGAGACCTACAAAACATTTGCAGTCAAATTAGTATCTTTATGGAACAGTACTTCTTTAAATACACAATTTCTAGAATAATACAAAATAATTCTAATCTTAGACAATAAATCCTCTAAGTCCATTTGTTTTAGGCCTAACATTAATTAAGCATTTATTAAGTATGGCTTATATTCGATAAAGAGATAAATTAACACTGTAAACATTAACATACTTAATACTATCAATAAATTTATAATGTTATTTTATGACCTAACATTAGACATTTTTAAAAACTTTGATAAGCTTTTAATGTAATTTATTTTCAGGCACATTGTGTTACTACATGAAGAATAAAAAACACAAAAAACATGTTAGCTGAATATAGTGTGAGCTAATGCTGAAGATACTAGCACTGATGATGGTAACTACGTTACCAAAACTAGTTGGCTGTAACTAATAATAAAGATTTTACCTTTCATTGTGCAAAAAAAAACGTGTCAGTATTTATGTTTTTAACTCTTAATAAAGCTTTTTATACGTTTTTGTACAAAATGTCTGCTAAAGTATATTTACATCTGCCTTTTGTTTACATCTGTTGAAATGAGTATTATTATAATTATTATAATAATTATTATTAATTATTATTATAATTGCACTAAAGTTGTTGTACATTTGTTGAAAAGCTGATTTCTAGCACTTGAACACAATCCTAATAGAATAAAAGTTTTTTTGTAAATTTTACTCAGGGATTTTGGAAATGTTCTGCTCCTTAAAAAGAAAAGACGTGTTGGATGTGCTTCGAGCAACCCAGTTTATCTGCAAACACTACTGGAGGTTTTGTAATAATTATATATTTAGTGTCAGCAACCACAGTAAATGTAATATACAGAGGTTGATTAATTTTATTATGACTTATGAATAAATGCTGTTTCAATTTATAATTTTACAATAAAGAAGTGATGTATTAATCTTCTTAAAAATACATTTATTACTCCCCACAAAAACATCCAGTTTCTACATCTGCCAACATTCAACAAAAACTCATTAAAAAAAACATTCAAGAGTTTATAAACACTCATGAGTAAAAGCATTTATCAACTTGTCTTTTCACACAATGAGCCACAACATCTAATGTACATATCTGTAGTGAAAATGAGTTGTTCGAATATAAGTAATAAACAGTATGTTAGTCTCGTCATAGAGTTGTTTCTAATTCTCTTTAGAAAAACAGAGGCAAGATCTTGTCATAACCAGTGCTTCAGGCTATACAACAACAATGTAAGATCAATGTAGTATCATTGGTTTCTTTCATCATGGTCATACCAAGTTTTTGCTTATATGTTGCTGTTATGATTTTGCTTTTCAGTTTAATTATTACATTTGACTGCTAAAAATTATCAATAGCATTCATTGACAAAAAAAATGGGAACAAGCATTAAAATCACATGCTCAAGAAAGCTTTTTTCAAATATATTTATTTGTGTGTCTTGTACCAAGCAGTCTAGAGCAGTGTCTCTCAACCACAGTTCTGTAGTCAGCAGCAGTCCATCACAACCACCTTGCTTGTCCATGGGATTTTACAAAAACTAATGGAATATTCATATGCAAATTGTAATGTTTTTTTCATTCTACTTCCAATTTAGTGGTCCATGACAATTTAGGGGGTAGTGAGCCAGTCCCTGGTATCAAAAAGGATGAGAAACACTGGTCTAGAGCAACTTGCATTCTTTCATAGCCTTCCCACTCTTTTCTTACTGTAAAAAGCATAATGCATAATGAATGGTACTTTTCATATACAACAGCAGTATTTATATTGTCAAAACCAAAAGTTAAAGGACAGACTCCCTGAAGCACAGCCACAAAGTCATAAGAATAACAAAGATTGTTAAAGTGTTAAGTTGCATATGTAATTTTTCCTTTACATTTAAACACTATCACTAAGTCATATCTTGCTATAATTCCCTGAAACAATACTGCAACAAAATATAAATTTGTACATGAAAGATTTTGTGCATCCAACTAGGAAACAGAAGTAATATTGCTCTGATGTCATCAAGTTCCCAATACCACTGAATAGTCTCAGGAGAGTAAATCACATTTACCAAGCATCATGACTGTTTCATGTATTGACATTTTAAGCTTCCAGCAACCTGTAATTTCTTTTCTAAAGTTCTCCAATTTCTGAAATTTTAACATTTTGCACTCCCTTTGATAATGTTTCTTCTACCTATCCAGTACATCTGTTCATTTATACTTGCAGCTCATAATGAGCAAGGAATTTTCAAATGGTGTCCAGGACTCCAGAAACTTCAAGTGGGATAATGTTCTAAGATTTTAGTGGAAAAAGCATTTAATCTAAAAAACAAACAAAATCAACTGTCCCAAATGAAGTACTATTCCTAAATACAATATAATGCCTTCAGTTTTTAATATGTATATATATATATATATATATATATATTATATCTTGTTTACACTTATAAACCCAAAATAACAATATATTTTAAATATGTGTTTATACATGACCTGGCTTGACTTCCTATATACTGAAATTATAAGTTGTTTTTTTTTACTTTACAGTTTGAGAACGTATAAATCTTGTTTGATAAATACAGTGTTCCAGTCATGAGGATTTTATCAATAAAAAATATATTTAAATCATCAATCAATGTTTGAAATATTATTTTAATATATGCCTAAAATATATAAAAATACACATTTATGTCATTGAAAAATGTGGTATTGAAATATTTCTCCCATTTACCATGATATATTTTCTATTAAATAAGTAACTCTTAAAAAGGTATATGGTAGAAAAATTGTTTGTTAATAAAAAAACTTTTTCTTTTTAATAGTTCTCTTCTAAAATTGTGATAAAAGTGGAAATATATTTTGTTCATTGACAGCTCATTAGCTAATGCAAACTAGCATTAAGAGTAAATATAAAATATACCCAATGTCACTACATTCATGATGTTAGAAAAACACTATAATCCAAATGCTTTTGAAAGATGAACCTTTCTTCTTCAGGGGCAAACAGTGAAAGTGCTCAGGTTATAGGGTATCATATTTCCATGTAACTGTATGTTATTAACCATTATCTGATATGATCATGTCCATACTTCTATGGTTCTGTAGACAAAAGTCCGTGTATAATTCTACAAAATATCTTATGTAATGGCTGCTGGCACATGAGTGACTGAATTTCTCAAATTATCAGGGAACTCTGGGAATTTTGGAGAAGCCTCTTTGTTAGAAAAGTCAGTGAAGTTAAGTAAACAGTAGTCACGGTGAGTTTCGGGTAATTTATGATTTTATTTTGAGCTAGTGTGTGTTTTGCACTTGTAGAGAGCAAAGTTATCGAGATTGTGAATCGCTGTGATTTATAGCATGCATTATAAAAGTTGTTAAGTTTAAAGTGACAAGAAACATACTAACTGTGGAATTACTGGGTACTAAAAGTTTGTATCGAGAAAGAATAAACTGGTTTAGTTAAGAAAAGACTTGTATCACTAAAGTTCCTCGGAAAGAATTTCTACCAGAAATTAACATACAAGCAGATACGTAACAGTATAAACAGATGAAGTGACATGAATTAAAAAAATTTCTCAAAAGAAACACTAGTCACTACAGATTGAAAATTCAGTTTTCAGTTCATCATGACAGGGAATTGATTATCTAAAATGAAGAAATATTTTTCGTGTTTCAATCTCTGTTTTACAAGATAAAAGTAATCTAGCTGGAAAGCTAGATAGCCTCAAAAATTCTTTTACAACAAAAGAGTATAAGTATGTGCATTTACACAAATCCTCATCAAAATGTCTCTCAAGACACACAACACTTCTTTGTGTAACATTCTCAATCATTGATCTAACTATACTAATTAGTGCTGATTTAGCTCACAATTGTATTTTGCTATTGGTCAGTGCATTGAATTTGTCATACAGATGCTGTATATATTTAGAGCTGGAAGCTCATATTAAAGTCTTTACTATATCTATTGTATCATAATATTCAGTGTATTTAACAATATATGTCTCAAAAGTATTTTTAGTGTGTTTGTAACAATAATTTTTCAGCTAGTTCTTACAGTGTTTCTGGAACCATAACGTTTATGAGGTTTCAGGTGTCTAGAACCACTATTTTCCAAAATTTTCAGTGTAACAAGAACCATTATTGACATGGATTTTCAGTTTCTGGAACAACCATTTACACAAGTTTTCAGTTATCTGAAGCATTTGTTTTCATAGGTTTTCATGGTACATATGACACTGCAATTTACAAAAATATTTCCTCTGTAGTTACCACTGACAATTAACAAAGCTATCACAATTTTTGACACTGTGGCTTATCTAAGTTTTCAATATATCTGATGTTATAGTTTATCTAAGTTTTCAATGTGTTTAGTATATTTATACTGTGGCTTAACAGTGTGCTTATCCATGTTTATCACTATGGTTTACCAGAGTTTATACTGTTCTAACGTTGTGGTTTACTGTTGTTTTAGTTAGTCTAGTTCTGCAGTTTACCAACATTAACAATGCATCTGGCATTCTGTATTTAATTATTGGAGTATTTGTACATTAGCTTCTATTTAAAATCTAATAAATAATTGTCTCTTATAAAGAAAACTAATAATCATGGTGAAAATATATGTGTTATTTGCTTGAATCTTAGAATAATCTGTCCAAAAAAGCTAGATTTATAGTCTAAGAAAGGGTTATTAAAGACTTCAATATATAAGTGCTGATGCATCTAGGTACTTAATTATTAAAATATATTGTTTATTTGCATTAAAGGCAATCAGACAATATTTCTAAAAAAATACAAAACTACCATAAAAGATGTACTTCAACTCTCTATAAAACATTCCTACAGAAACAGTACTATTTTCTGTTTATTCAAGGGCTATCATGTCAGTTTAAAGGCATGGGCACAAAATACATGATAAAAAAAGCATTAATCACAAGACTGTTTTTAATATCAAGATATTTCAGTCTCCTGAAACAGTTAATTAATTTTTGTTATATTTTTTAACAGAGAAAAGAAAAAACAAGAACATAGTTTCATCACTTACTGTGGTTTATTATCAAAATACATGACTAAAAATAACTTTTATTTTCATTTAAGGTAGGCTATGTATTTACTAAAAACTTTGTATTTTTGAATTTATAGCAAAGCTACTAAGGTATTCCTAATTTTAAACTATTACCAGTCATCCTACCACCCATGCTAATATTTTGTGGCATAACAGGGATTTAAACTCAGCTCACTATATCTAATGTCCAGAGCTCTACCACAGGGCCAACCTGCACCCTACTTAAAAACACTGTAGACTGAAGTTTCTTGTATACTTATCTAACAAAATGAATTCACTGACATGTCAATTATACATACTGGATGTTTCAAGAAAACTAAAACAGTTTTAAAAATAAACCATGAGCATATGTAATATGAAAGTTTGTCATTTTTAAGTAAATTAAACAGTCGTTTAAAATAAACCATGAATGAATGCTTTAATATGAAGCTTTCACAGTGAACATTGTTTTCTTAATACTATATAAATAGTTCCCTACACCTAATTACATGAAAACATGAATATTTAATCTGTTACTATGCTAGCTATTTCAGCATGCTGTTGTAACTTAATGATTATTACCTGCAGGTGAAAATACATTTCCTTTTTCAGCTTTGGAAAAATCCTGAAAATTATATTCAAGATTATCATTTTAGTACTGGAAATTGATTATATCTTATTACCAGTATATTAATATCAAAACTTGTTTTTGCTTTAATCAAATTAATATAATAATAATATATATGAAATACATGATCTGCTAATAAACTTTTAAAACCAAAGAGAAGAATATGTGAGAGCCATGTTAATACAGCTAGGATATGAGAAAAAAACATTTTTATTGTGAAACACATTTCTTAAATCAAAGCTTTTGAATGAGAGGAAGATTTTAATTATAAGGTAAGTTTGACTGAATTGAAAAACACACACCAAACCATCTTCTTGAAATGTTTAAGATATAACATATTGCATTTCTATAGAAGAAAATACTGAAATATAGCTATGTGATTATGTATCATTTATCTCACTGTAACAAACATCTTACAACTTCGATAAACTTGATGCTTTACATAAACTTTCAGTAAAACATTAGTTATGTTAAAATTACATCTTCTTAAAAACCAAATTTCTTCCTGAAAATAAAACAAAAAATACTAGAGGCAAATTTAAAGACAGTGTTATAGATATAACAAGTAGCCTGAAGCTTCTTTACCTTCTGGGCAGTATGTTCAATAGTCATATAGCCTTCTTGAACTAATCTTATCAGATGCAAGGTACTTTCATTTTCAATCCATAAATCGCCCAAATGGGACTGAGGTAATCGTTGCATTGCTATATAAATAAAAAAAAAACATTGGCCACACTACAAACAATGAAAAGTTCAAGCAGAAAATGTATTACAGAGGTAAATTGAGTTGTGTTGGTTTTGCACCCTGTCTAAATCCTGCACTTAACCATGCATTGGCTCCACCATTGAATTACTTTGTGACAAACCATAAAACATCACTTATGTATCCTGACCAATATTTTCTTTAGTATATCCATTTCCAAAAGATTCCAATGCTACTCTGTGATTGACTTCACCTAAATATGATTTAAAATTTACCTCTTCATTCACATCTAGTCTATCAACATTTGTCAGAACAAAATCAGTATTAACTATCTGGAGTAGTTGATTCACTCAGACTGTCTAATACACAATGAAGTCAACCTTGTATTAACCATAAATTCTACTTCTTGCCTCTGTATCTTTACTAGTACATAGGTCAACCAGCATTGAGAGAGCTGGGCTGACCACCAAATCTTTTGGTGCAAGTTGTCTGTTGCACTCCCCAAGTTAGTAGTCAAACCCAAGTTAAGCTCCATTAGTTTCCTAACTCCAAAGAAGCAGCAGCTACAGCTTACTGTCGACCCTCTTGCACTTGTAGTACAGTTGCATTAATCTCCTTCTTTTGCTTATCTTAGTGTAATGGGCTGTTCAACTTAACAATATTGTTGCGTCAGCGAAGTCACATGCCTAGTGTCACG